CAGTGGATAATATGACTTGCGATATGAGGTGGTCATCGTGATGACCCTTGCTTGCGGTGCGAATATTTGAATTCGCCAATGCGTGCGTTTTGACTTCCGAACAATGCATAGCCACTGACCCTTCAGCGGTTTCTGAGTTCTTCTGCGATGGATTATCGGATTCCTTGTTTACCGATTGGTTGCTCTTCGTCTGCTCCATGTGTAAGAGAGTGTTGTGTGCCCTTGAGCACTTGCGACAAGTGGAGGACTTACAATCCTTTGAGTAGTGTCCTGCTCTTAGACAATTTATGCATAATTGTTTCCTTTTTATTTCCGCTAGCCGATCTTGGGCAGAAAGTTTCAAAAACTCCGCGCAGTCATACAAGCGATGGCTTTCCTTGCATAAGCTGCATCCCTGCGACGTAACTGCTGCTGCTATGACACGTTTGTCAACCTTCTTGTTTGTGTTACCTTTAGAGCCCACATCTGGCTTAGCCTTGTTGTTGTCCAGCATTTCCAGTGTGCGGCATCTCTCACTCAAGAATTTAAGAAATTCTTCGACGGTGGGCATGTGATCTGGCTCTTGCTGCCCTACCTCCTCTTCCCATGTGTGCTGGGTGTGATGATCGAGCTTACCTCTTGCTAGAAAAATGATTAAAGTAGCCCACTGATCTGTCGGCTGTTCTAATACTTCCAAAGCCTTAAGATGTGTACGAAGATGCATAATGAACTGTCTTAAAGACGTATGCTTATCCCTTGTTAAGCTTGGGAATTCCAAAAGCTTTGCCAAATGACTATTGATTATCAATCTCTTATTTCCATATTGACTTGTCATCAGATCCCATGCAACTTGATAATTTGCCGCTGATGTATTCAAACCACTTACGACTTGCAACGCTTCGTCCTTCAATGAGCTACGCAAATACTGAAATTTCTGCACGGATGACAACTTGTGATTCTTATGAATTAAAGATTCGAATGCATCTTTGAACAGCATCCATTGATCGTACTCACCTCCGAATACCGGCAATTTCAGAGTAGGTAATTTAATGTCAATATTACCTGGTCGCGTATGCGTTTCATTTTCTTGCCTTTGAGTCTGTTGTGCT